AGGGCCACGCTCCCCGGCGGCAACAGGCTGCCGGCCTCCAAACTCACCAGTGTGCATCATCTGCATGGAACAGAGCACAAATCAGCTGTGTGGAGCAAATGCCTTGCGGAAACGGGCGGCGCTTGCGCTGCCGCTCCCCCGCCGCTCCGCCGCCACTCCCGCCCGCCCTCCCCGCCGCCCCCAACATTTCCGGCCCCCATTAACCTACCTCTACAGCGCAGCATGCAAGCCCGAACGTCATAGGCCAGATACTTGAGCGTCGTGCTACAGCAACAAAAAAGCAGGCTCAAAAAACGACGTGCGCGCCCTGCCGCCGTGGCGCCACCTCCGCGCCAAGTCGTGCGGTGCCCAACACCCCCAGGGCAGCCCAGCATGCCCTCAACTCACCCCAGTTGACGAGCTGATCAACCTTGCTCACAACAAACTGACCCTTACTGGCAGCAGCCATTGTGCCCTGCAGCCGGGGAGGCGCATGGCGGCGGCGCCGAGGGTCGGGCGGCGACCAGGCGGGGAGAGGGTGGGGCGGCGCACGGGCAGGAACTGCTCCCACGCCCATATGCAGTCTCCCCGAAAGGGTTTAACGGGCTGCCAGGCGCAGTTGCCGGCACACCCTGGCGGGAGGACCCTCCCCCACACGGCTCTGCCGCCAACCCACACCTCCACACTCACCCTCTCTACACGGTGATCGTGGTGCGACGGAAAGAGGGGTAGTCTAAAGGGAGCAACTCCTGCAGGGGCTGGGTCGGGAAGACGCTAGGCGGGCCGCCCTACCACCACCACAGACCGTTCAGCACCTCGACTGTGCTGTCTGACGATGATCGCAGGCGCCGGGATGAGGTGGCTGGGGGGAGAGGGATGTACCGGCGCGGGTACAGCTCGCCAGCGCGCAATCTGAAAAAACAGCCTTGGAGCGCCCTCCTTCGCACTTGTTCCACCCCTGGAGACTCCTGGACCTGCCACACGCCGGCAATTCCGCTATCTGCCCGAGTGACAACCCGTCCATTCATGCAGCGGCTGGGCAGAAGCAGAAGCGGGGGCCGCCGGCCCGTCGGCCGGGCGAGCCCAAGCCCAAAAAGGGGGCCATGAAAGCGCAGGCGACAGCAAAGGCGAGCAGCGCCTACCTGCACGAGGTGCACACCGCCCAAGAGCTGGGCCAGGAGGCAGGGTGCGGCGATTTCACAGCCCGCAACACCCTGGAAGAGCTTTGCGAGCGGAAGGTGGTGAAGAAGATCAAGTCGAGCCAGGGCGTGATGCAGCGGGGCAAGTCGGCGAGGCGCCCCACCAAGGGCACCAAGCCCGCCGTGGGCTACATCTGGGCCGCGGCGGCAGATGCGGATGCAAAGCTGGAGTGAGCCTGCTTGGGTGCTGCCTGCCAGCTTGCTCCGCCTGCCCCTGCCCCTCATCCAATCCCTCCCCCAATCTGCTCACGCCACCCCCCGCCGCCGCCGCCGCCGCAGGGCGTGGGCGGAAGGCGCGGCGGCACCCAAGCAGGCGCCGCTGGACCCAAGCTGTTGGAGGATGGGGCCTGGGACGACGCGGTGCTCACCCTGCATGAGGTGCGGCAGGCGGGGGCGGGCGCTGGAGGGCAAACACCGCGCCCGGCAGCCCCTTCCCCAGCAGCCCCTTCTCCAAGCAGCCCCTTCCCCGGCAGCCCCTTCCCCAACATCCCAGTGCCGTGGCGTGCGTGCCTTGTGTGGGCGCAGGTGATGAGCCGCGCAGCGGCGCTGAGGGGGAGCGGCGGGGAGCTGGGGCGGCTTGCGGCGGCCTTCAACCGCCACGTCGCCTGCACCGCGCTGGAGACGGCGGCCGACAATGGCCACCTCGAGCGCTTCGAGTACTGGGGCGCGTGAGGGGCATCGCCAGGCCGCAGGCGGTCGCCTACGCCGCTGCTGGCGCCAGCGACGCCGTGCGCGGGTGAGTGCCGGGCTGTTGGGAGCATGTGCGCCACTCCCTCCTCTTTCTTGGCTGGCTGGGACTGGCTGGGGCTGGCTGGGACTGGCTGGCTGGGCCCTGGGCTGGGCCTGTGGTTGGGCCCGAGCTTGCTGATCCCCCCCCTCCCCAACCACCTCGCCACCACCCCTCCCCTCCCCACATGGCACCCCCTGCAGCGCCTGGCGGGAGGCTGAGGCACAGAAGTCGGTGGTGGACCGCGTGCGCGCCCACGTGGCTGCCGGCCACCTGCAGGGCGTCGTCCGCACGGCGCTGGATGTGCAGCAGGACGTGGACGGCCAGCCATACCCGGCGCTTGATGCCGAGGCGGCAGCCGGCCGCCTGGAGCGCGTCCTGGTGCAGGGCCCCACCTCTGAGCACCACCCCGAGACCGTGGACTATACCGCGCCCACCACATCAGCGGACACCCACGAGCGAGTGTGCACACGCTGGCTGTGTGTGTGGCACGCCGGTGCGCAGGCTGGCAGCAAGCAGCAAGCAGCAGCAGGGTCATGTCCCCCTCCCCCCCGGCACCCACGCCCGACCCGGCGCTCCTCCCGCCCCGTCCACGCGCAGGAGCTGGCGCCAGGAGCAGCAGTCGGGCGCGGACTGTATGCGGCGGCTGGCCCCCACCCTGCCCCACCGCGTCATCACCATCCGCGAGGCGGCGGACGAGGCGGGCTGCAGCTACCCAGCGGCGCGCGGCGCGCTGCAGCTGGAGGTGGCCCTGGGCAGGCTCAAGGTCATCGAGCACCGGGGCAACAGGCACGACCACCCCGCCGTCAAGGGCTTCACCCACATCCACGCGCCCGACTCCATCACCAGGTGAGTGCGCCTGGCGCCGGCTGCCCCAGGGCTGCCTTGATGCCAGCGCCTGCATGCATGGCTGGGTTCCTGCCCCTGATCGCCGCGTCGTGCCCGCGCCTCCTGGCCTGCAGCGCCTGGGTGCAGGAGCAGGGGGGTCCATTTAACATCATGCGGACATTCATCGAGAATGGCATGCTGGAGGGCAGCGTGTACAGCCCAGGCGAAGTGGCGGAGCTGGGGTCGGCTGCAGGCACGATCTCGCCTGCTTGGCCTCTATGCGCTGCCGGCGGCGTGCAGCGCGTCCAAGTGCCGGGCTCACCGCGGCATCCAGGTTAGAGGAGATGGCAGAGTGAGATGTCTGGGGGGTCAGTGGACGCCGTTGTGAGCCAAGGAAGGCAGATCGGTTCGCTCAGACGCTGCCTGCCTTTTCTACTGGCGCTCCCGCTGCTTGTGCCCCTGCCATGCCTCCCGCCGCGCCCATCCAACCACTCTGCCTATGGGGTCAAGTGTGCGTGCCCGCTCCTTGACTGCTGGGACCCTGCCTGGCAGCCAGTCTGCAGGCCTTTCCCCCTTGCATTCCAGCTCAACAGCCCACCCCCAAGCCCGCCCGCCTGCATCTGCCCATCGGAGTGGGCGTG